CCAACCTAGGTGCCCTTCAGTAGATGAATGGATAAAAAATTGTGACATATATACACAATGGAATATTACTCAGCAATAAATGAGAATAAAATCATGGCATTTGCAGGTAAATGGATAGTGTTAGAGACCATACCGCTAAGCCAAGTTAGCCAATCCCCAAAAAACAAATGCCGAATGTTTTTATTTGCTTTCTTATAACATTAAAATTTGAGAGATTCTCAGAGATCTTTTTTTCTTTTGTAGTCTACTAAGTTGTCAGGAAAGACCTCTCACTATCTGTCATTAACTCTCAGATATTCTGTACACTCAAGAATCTTGACTCAGAGGAAAACAGAAAATAACAAAAGAAGTTAAGAAAAGTTTACTTACTACTCGGTATCCCCAAATCAGCCATTCTTATAAAGTAAAATTATTATTGGAATGCCCTGAAACACATCAATCTCTATGTCCCATTTCACAATATTGTACACGCCCTTTAGCCAATAATCAGGTTACATTTTTAAAGTTAAATTTTAGTGCTTTACTATTGTCTTCATTGTAACCAGATTACTAAAATCACTTAAGGAATAAATGTAAACCAAAGTTGACTGTAGTTTATGCAACACTAATGATAACCATTTCTCAAAGTTCAAAATGAGCCTCAGGTTTTTTTTTTTTTTTGAAAAATAAATCTGATTTAAAACTTTAAATTTTGATTTAATGGTACAATCTTGATTTTTAAATATGATTTATTAAAAGTTTGCTGGATTTTTATTGAACTGCTTCCAACATACAGTATTTAAGGGTTTCTCATGTTTTATCTTTCCTGTCATTCTTAATTAATATGTGTACTTCAGTTAAATCAATTACATATAAGGTGGATGATGGTATTACATCATCCATTACCAATTAATTCATTGGTTCCCAAATTCAACACTCATTTATTACATGATAATGGATATGGTTTAACTGAACTTATAAATATAAATGTTTGAAATATGTAATATGTGACTCATTTGAGCTAATGATTCACTTTCCTCATAAGAGCACTGCTTTCAAGTTCTCCTAATATACATATAAGAACTGGGTGAGCAAATCCTGTAAACTCCTGTGCTTGGACAAGGCAGTAGGACTCCCCAAATTCCCTCACTGAGAAACCTTGTGTTCTTGATTTTACTACTACCCAAAATTGCTACAAAAAAATAAAAACTAGTATATCCACTAAACAAATCCCACTGTTGAGAGTTTTTAAAATTTTCATTTTGTTATTAAGGCCTCATGTATGCTAAGCATGTGCTCTACCACTGAGTTGCATTCCCAGTCCCTATTTTATTTTATAATCATATAATTATACTCTGAACATAACATTGGTTCTACTATACTTATTTTTAAATGTATTAAGTTTTCTAAATCTTTAGATTGAGTTAAAATGTAATTTTCTTCCCAAGACATAAGAATTAAAAAATCTTTACTAGAATTTTATAAATATATTAATGATTTCAAAGAGTTAAAAGTTCTTAACTTTTATATAATTCTATTCTGTGCACATTGGAGAACAACAAATGCAAAACAAATTTTATTCAATATTACTAGTATAGAGTAGTCAAAATCCTTGGCAGCAGTGGGGCTGGGTGTCACACTCCTATAATCCCATCAATTCAGGAGGTTGAAGCAGGAGGATCCTAAGTTCAAAGTCAGTCTTGGCAAGTTGGCAAGGCCCTGAGTTACTTAGTGAGACCCTGTCTCAAAGTAAAATATAAAAAAGGGCTGGGGATATGGTTTAGTGGTTAAGGGCCCCTGGGTTCAAATCCTGATAACAAAATAATTATGATAATGATGATGATGATAATAATAATAATAATAATTCTTTGAAATATCTTTTTTTGTGAAAACTAACTCATGATAAGCTTTGAGAAAATGAGTCACCAGGGGTAATAGTTCCTATGTTCCTCTACTCTTAATAACACTTTCCATGCATGCTGCTCATCCGTAATCCTTTATTATAAATAAAATAACCAGCATAGTGCACTCCTATAATCCCAGCAGTTCAGGAGGCCGAAGCCCAAGGACTGCAAATTCAAATGTAACCTTGGCAAAAGTGAGGCGCTAAACAACTCGGTGAGACCCTGTCTCTAAATAAAATACAAAATAGGGCTGGGGTTGTGGCCCAGTAGTGGAGTGACCCTAAGTTCAATCTCTGGTAGCATGAATAAAGACATAAATAAATAAAAATGTTCACATATTTATATTATATATTAAAATCATTTATTTCTAAAATTATTCCATTGAATTCAATTGAAATAACCATTAATTGAGTTTTTAAGTAGTTTTCAAGGTATTTTTCAAATATAATTCAAAAAGTAGTACAATTCAAACTTTTTTTAAGGAGAGACTTTTAAAATAATGTCAGTTTTATATAACAGTCACTCTCAGGAAGTATGGTAAAGATTATTTACAGTGTTAATTATGCTGAGGCATCACAAGGTTTTTTTTATTTCTGAATGACATAATTCTAATTTTATGGAGAAAAAAACACTAAAAATAACACTTCCATTAAACTGTTACTATAAGATGCAGTTCAGATTCCTTGTGTCTTCATAACTGAGTACATAAATCTGCGTTAAGATATAAATTCTTACACAGTACACATAAAGGTAGATTCATGTAGCAGTTTTGTTTCAAGCAATGTCTTTTAATCATGTGCTTTCAGACAAAAATAAACTAATAAATAAATCACATCCATAAAGATACAGACCAAAAAAAATATTGAGTTAATGATTTCCCAAAAGGGAAAGAATATGTAAATAGCAGTAAGGTGGAGAGTCTAAATAAGGATTCTATGTTAGGCATTGAGTTATGACTTCAGAAGCATGCTGTCAGCCTACATTTCATCATGTCAATAATGAGCAACAGGTGGCTAAAGGGAAAATATAATGATAACACTTATCTTCCCCAAGCCTTCCAGAAGTCATCTTTATAAAAATGTAATTATCTTATTAAAATGGCTATTCTCAACTTAAGTTTTGCAAAAATAAATCTTTATTATATTTCTATGTATTGCATATACTCCAAAACAAATATTTGCTTAAAATATTTCAGTAAATCTTCTATTTAAGCGTATACACGATTTTGATGGAGTTTCCCTCTGAGATTATAGAAGAATGTCTGAAAATACTAGAGTAATGAAAATATTCTAGCACTATAGAAGTTGAATGCATTAATTCTAGAATTTTTAGTTCCATAGTAGGCAACTCAGCTTGCCATAAGAGTTTAAATCAAACACTTCACAAACTGTCCAAATATAGGCTGCTCATTCTCACTGATTCAATAAAGCAATTGTACTTAAATCAGAGGACAGTAAGATATTCAATATTTAAAATATTTTAAAGAAGCAAGTATGAATTTCATTTTAAAAACTGGAAAGCAGTCACTATATAAAGACATGTCAAATGTGAAGCATTGTTCAAATATTAACAAAATTTTCAATATATTTTTCTACAATGAGGGCATGAGAAACAGAAATTTTCTCCAGATTTAGAAATATCATATTTGCTTATTTTTGTTGGAGTTAATATTAGTACAAACTTAAAACAAAGAGGTAAGGGTTCACTTTTATAAGAGCATTCATTTAGCAATAAAATGACATTTAAGCTTTGTTCACAAAGTATGTAAGAATAAGACCTCTATTAAGTATTATCATTATCAATTTTCATCCTCTGTATCCATGCTGAATATCAAGTAGCTGCACCTAGATTTAAAGTCAAATTACCTTTTTTTTTTTTTTCTGTTTTTCCAGAATCCCCTTCAGGACTTGGCTTGCCAGGTACTTTTTTGAAGGGGTGTTGGGACAAGGGGGTCAAGGAGCCTAGCTGAAAATTAGCCCCAGCTTCCATTGATTTTTGCCAAATCGTGACAGAGTCTGAGCTGATGAAAGAAGTTAACTCATCTACACGTAGTGCACTGCAGATGGACTCCCTAAGAAATTCTCTCAAATGTCACAGTAAGGATTGGCAATTGTCTGTGAATCACTCTGGCTTCTTTTCAGGCCTTAAGGTTTATAGAGAGGATTGGGGGACCTGTAATCAAGTCAGGGAGACCTCTTTACTGGAACAACCAAGTTAAGTGCGGCAGGATGAACTGTGTTCTGGCCACAGACAGCTCTTGGCTCTGCTCAGATCAGGTGTGTGTATGTGTGTCTGTGTGTTGGGGGTGGTGATGACTAGCATGTCTTGGCCATTGGCTCCAGTCAAACAAAAAGTCCGAGTCTGTAAAACTCCTTTCCTTTAAATAACCTTTCAGAAAACTCCCAAAGAGACTCTATGGTTAACTCTTTCATGGATGTCGCCTGCGGGCGTCCCCATCTCGGGAGATTTTACAGCAGTGATTAATTGGGAAGTAAAACGTAATCAAAAGCATTGCAAACACGTTCTCGGTTAAAGTTAATGTTGAAACACAAATCTGATCGCAATTTTATGTAATTGGAGCAGTTCAACTTCTGCCTACTGGTGCCGCCAAACAACCTCCCACCCCTGGAGAGCGGGCATTTATAAATCTTACATCTTCCTACCTCCAAACTCAAATTCCTTAATGGACCATTAGTAAAGGGATCGATCCTAGTTACTTTAGTAGCAATACAACGCAAAGGCACATCTGCTGGGTTTACCAGTGCCAGAGACACCATTCAAAAGTTGAGAAGGTAGAGCCAGCACTTTGCAAACCTTTGGGGGGGGGGCAGGGGATGGGTGTGCTGTGGGAGTGTGGGGTGGGGGAGAAAAGAGTGAGAACCTGCTGTGACCTGAACTCCGGTGCATCCAACACGCAAGTCCCCCCTGATGCTAGCTGGGAGGTGGGCAGCGAAATTGCTAAGTTCTCCAGCCGCTGTGAGAGCAGCCTTTCCCCTCAAAATTCCTCTCCCTAGGAACTGAGCCCACTCCCCACCCCGAACCTGCTGCGAACCGCCGCGATGTTCGCCTTGAAGCCCAGAGCGCGTGTGTCTGGGAATGGGGACGCGCAGCACTTACGTCTCGGAATTTGTTCCACTGTCCGACTTCCTTGTCATACTGAGAGATTGTGGTGAGCCATTGTTTATCGTCCAGAAAATTACCGCCGTCCGACCGCCCCCCGGCCGCAGCCACCGCCGCGGCAGCTGCGAGAGCCTGACTGCACCAAGCGGCTGCACACACACACAATACGGCTGACACCTTGAGCATCTGGGAAAGGAGACACAACCGGGAGGGGGGATGGCAGTGTCAAATAAGGGGTACGAAGACTGGGGCGACCCCGGAAGACATGCATCAGCAACGACGGGGATAGAGAGAGGGAGAGACAAGCAGGGACAGGGTGTCCCCCTTCCCGCAGGCTTTACCCCCAAACCCGGGCACTCACACACACGCAGACCCAAGGGAGAAAAGGGGGATCTAAGAGGAAGCCCCAGCCGCAGCAGCAGCCCTAGCGGGCAAAAAAAACCGCTTCCTGGCACATCACCTTGTTGTGAGCCAGCACGGTGCTCGCAGCTCCTGCTGGAAATGCAGCCCAGCTCAGCCAACTCGCTGCTTTCAGGAGCTGCTGCACGCGCCGCCGTCTCG